CTCTCTCTCTCTCTCTCTCTTCCACTTGTTTCACTCGACCCTACTTTTTCTCATCTTCTCCTTACACGTCCGTAGATTTTCTCCACATAATGATGTCTTCTAGCAAAGGGTTTCACGAGAGAGACCAACGGTATACAAGCGACGATCTCCTATGTACGGTTCCCTTCTCTCCCTTTGCCAGCGGCCCCGTTTCATTCCTTTTTGCTACTCCTTTTTCATTTCTTCCCTGTTCCACCTCTTCCTCCTCCTCATTCTCCTCCTCCTCCTGCTCCTCCTGTTCCTGCTCTGCTCCGTCTAGCTGGGTGCCGCTGCGCCCGCTTCTTCTTCTTCTTCTGCTCCTTTTCCGTAACGGTGACGCCGGCTTCCCGTTACGCGCCAGTCAGAACCGTCCGAAGCGGCCTATTCCCTTCCAAGACGAGATGGGCTTCGTTGCATTATAGATGCTGAACGAATGAAGGAAAGATGCTACTAATGTTGGATGGATGTCCCGTTTGTTCTCTCGGAAACAGGAGAGTCTTGGGGGAAATGCACGAAGCTCACGCGAAATAATCTTTCTTCATTTAATACTTTACTATCTCTTGCGTCCTATCTTGCTTTATTAAAAGAACATGTGAAATTAAAGCCACATAAAGTATACTCTGTCGTAGTTACAAATAGTTTTACTAAACTGTTCATCTCGTTACGATCAATTTATTCTATTATTATATAATTAATTATTACATAATTAATATATTTTATCATTAGCTTTATTAGAGAAAAAGCAAAAGAACTCATTAATTTTTTAAATTCTTGTTTACTTACAGAACAGCATTACGCAGCAGCTGATTCCAACAGTTCGACGCCTGCTAAGAGCTTCGTACCCTGCAAGGTTTGCGGCGATAAGGCGAGCGGTTATCATTACGGCGTTACCAGCTGCGAAGGTTGCAAAGTGAGTATCGAGAATCCCATAATCGAAAGCAAACAAAAAAGTAAGTTAAAATTTAAAAACTAAAACGAAACGTGCAAGCTATAAATATATCTACAAGTTGTAACGTCTACAGTTAATTTTTGTATAATAATCATCGAGAGAAACAGTGAACGCTTCGTTCTCACATTCTTTAATCATTTATGCTAATAACTTGCTAAGAAAAATTTTAGGCAGTTATATTTAAAATTACGTAAAACACGTAATTTTAATTTTAATCTGTTTCGTTCCGCCATTTAATTTTTAATCTTCAATTTACAATCCTTAATCTTCAATGCATAATATGATATAAGCTTAACGTGATTGGAAAAAAAAGATTTGTTAAAATAACTAAAAACTTCACTGATTTAGCAAATCTACAGTCGTAATATACAGACAGTCAGTTTTTTTTTTGTTAAAGTAATAAAATTGTACAGCTGAATAAAATTAGCTATTATGGGTAATCATATTTATTGTACCTAATAGCACAGTAATTTTATTAATAACAGCAAAGATAATCTTCTGTGAAAATTAATCTAATATACAAATCAAAATTTTTAACAAAGCATGTTGGCCAAGTGTTTGTTTAATTAACAGTTTTCTTTGTAAGAAAAAGTAAACTGAATTACAGCACACTGATAATAGCTTACCGACATAATTTCTTTGTTGAATCGTCAAATCTTCTTAGTTATAAATATTAAACTCGCGTAACAAGACATAGCTTTGTTGAACCACCCAATTAATTTTTTTCCGTGATATGATTCGTTAGTTTTATAAACCCAATTTTACATGACTCGGAAAGCAGCTGGGACTTCATTCCGCGCGGTTCACTATCGTAACAAGCTGAAAGAGAATTGTTCCACACGCAGAATTATAAGAGAGAAGCTTGAGACGATACATCGTTAGTTGCTCTTAGCTTCCGATATCTTGCGGAATATTCGCCGATCGGTTTGACCTCGCGGCGCAGCGGTGGGTCGAGTACAATTTACAACTCCAATCCGCAAGGATGCATGACGATCAGGTAATAATCCGCGAAACGACTCGTTCGCACTTCGGGGCAGGATATTTATCGGTGCGCGCACTCACGTCTTAAGCATCGTGGGAGATGCACATCCGCTACGAAACGCCCGTACGCCGCTGCACGCCTGAGATTTCAAATGCGGAAGCCCTAAGGCCAGAGTTAACGGTGAATTGGTGCATTCTCTTATTCGCTAGCAGCTAGTTCTACGGGCAAATGCACGTAAACACATACTTATAAACACGATTTTGCCGTGTAAAGTTCGCCTAAAATTAGCTAAAAAGTCCTCAAACGCGATTTATCCTCATAAACGTAATAAGAATGAAGATGATTGCGTATTTCTAGTTCTACACGGAAAGGACGATTTTGTTGAAACATCTGAAAATTTAGCTAAATGGAAACTTGAAAATAATTTTGTTGGACCATCACAATAATTATGTAACAAACTGGTTGCTAGAATGTTGAAGTTTTTGTAGTATTGCTTATTATGATTCAAATTCCTAATTCCTACGCAGTTATTTTGATGATCCAATGAAATTACAGATCTGTATCTAGCTAAATTTTTAGATACTTTAGCAAAATCTTCTTTCGATGTATGAAGTTGTCACTGTTGGTTTAAAAAGAGTGAGCTTGAGTCATATCGCTCTCTTTCTGTTTTTCTAAAGTATTGAGTTGAAGAAAAATGTTGATAGAGTTGAAGAGAGATGTTGATATGATCCACTACTTTTTAACGAAGCACAGATGTTAAGATGAGAGAATGTATAGCCTGTATTTGTTACGTCTATGTTCGTTCTCGAAGTAACTTCTGTTTAATAAAAAAAAAAGTTGACATCCAAGACAACTTCAATATCATCCAAGTAACTACACCAACACTGTTAAATTCCTAATGTCAAATTATATCTAAATATAAATATTTTTTAATTATTTCTATAGATCGCCACTGTTCCTATTCAATCGTTAATTTAACTAAACAATAGAGTTTTATAATTTAATTCAATTAATATATTAAATTGTATTGAAATTTGGTTTATCACTTATTAAGTGCATACATTAATATATGGACATTATTTATTTTGAAATTAACCACAGAGTAGATTTACATTTTGGCAGAGTAGATTTACATACGTTATAAACAATAGTTAAAAATAACAAAACATCATTTAACTCAAGGGATTATTATTGCTCTTTTAATACCTATAACAGTATATACTTGGCTGTGTATAATATTCATATTTCGAGATGTGCATTAAGCGAATATTTGATAATATTTGGCATCACAATATTCTCTCTTCTAAGCCGAGAACCGAAATCATTTAAATAAAACTTACATATGTTGATAGGAGTTTCTCAAATTAATATTTGATCTAGTTTATATCAATATCAAATAATATCAAATTATCAATGATATAAAGTTTACAATTAATAATGTGAATAATAAAATAAATTTTGCGCATACAGCTTATAAATTGTAATTTAAACTGCAACAAATCAATGAAACGGCTTGCCATTGTTCTGCGTCCGACTGGGCTATTACTACTGCGCTGCTACATTCGTCTGACCCGCATCGCGTTTTTACTACTGGCTGAATGTACGCGGTTCATGCTGTTCGCCTCTCCTTTATTCTCCACGTGCAATATTTATTATTGTACAAAACTCTAGCTTTCTCTTCCAGCTTTTATAACGTGAACATCTTGTACAATACAAATCTTCTGCGAACGCGCGATAACGAGATTTTTATGGAGTTAAAAAACATAAATCTTGTCCTCAATGTTCCGTTTTATGCCTTCTACAATCAAATCAAATTTTTTTCTTAATGTATATTGGCCGAAGTTTATAATTTTGAAAGAATCCGTATATAATTATGTAATGTAAATTAAATAAATGTTATCGAAATAACTTTTTAAAATATCTTAATTAATTTTTATTAAGCAAAATTAGTTGTAATCTATTTAAAACTTTAATTTTAATTTAAACATAGTCCTGTATATCTTTTGTTCTTTTTTTGTAATGAAGTAATTTTTATCATAACGAGATACTAAATTATTTTGTTAACTATATACTTATGTAATTAAATGATTAATCATTAAAACATTTAATTACATAAGTATAAAGCGTTTTAGCAACTTTTTTCAAATATATACATATTTAACTTATGATATTGATTCATCAAATTAATTATACCATAATTATTTTTTTCTGTCACGTGGTTGACGAGGACAAACAGACAGACGAGTTATAATGTATCGATTGTCTAGAAACGAGCTGAGGTCGCGCGCGCCATTGGTTATCAGTAATATCGACAGTTGCATTACGAACAGTCTGTCCATCGGGGATTCCAGGATATTGGATGCTGGATGTATGTTAGCGTTGTTGCATGATGCTGTTACGAATACCTTTCATCAATTAGCACCGATAGTAATATGCCAATAAATCGATGCTTTCTCGATTGCTCGCGCCTCATCCATACGCCGTTTCCATTATTCCATTACTTCCGCGTGAGCTTCTCACTTCGTAAAGCCATAGCCGGCTATTGTTTATGTAATATACTGAGTGTTCCAAAATTCGCGCGTTCGGAGTACAGGACATGATACTTTATGCTAAAACAAACAACTTTTTCCTTTTGCAAAATTGCGTCTGACAAGTAGTTTTTGCAGAAGAGCAGGTTCTAGTTATACGAGTAAACGCAAAAATTACACAGGCCCACAAAAAAAAAGTACCTTGTGCTGGGGTACAGACCCAGCTATTCTTATGTATTTTGAATCGCTGAATACGAATCTAACATCAAAGTAGGACCAGGGTAAATTTTCAATCTAAAGCGAAAAAATGACCCATTTTTTCCCATTTTTAACTCATTTTTTCGCTCTAGATTGAAATTTTTCCCTGGATGGTCCTATTTTGATGTCAGATTCGTATTCAGGAACTCAAAATACATAAGAATAGCTGGGGTGGAGACCCAGCATAGGGTACTTTTTTTGTGGGCCTGTGTTATTTATCGAATGTAATTTTACTATAGCACTGAGAGAAAGAATTTTGTTAATGTAGCATGCCACCAGCACCTTTAACCGGTGATCGGTAAATATATGACAACAAATTATGTTGTTGTGATTGCTGCTAGTCTGCTATACCAACAAATTATTCGTAACAGAAACAAACTATATAGAATCTAACCTATCTTTTGAATAGACTTTAACTCGTTTACATAGAATTCGTAGATGATCGTGGAGTCTTAAGTCGTAGGAAACCGATCAAGCACAGTCAAATATGGGGAGAATTAGTCTTGACTAGAATTAGTCAATTTCTTACGATTTGAGACCCTGCAACCGTCTATGACTTTTATATATATATATATACGAGCCTCTTATTTGCTAGCGATACTATTGATTATTTGTTACATTGACGAATTAATTTGCAATCGTAACAAATCGATCGTTTTTTTAACAAATATCACATTTGCTTTCCCTTGATTTGTTCCTATAACAAAATCATTTCTCTCAGTGAGGAAAAAGTTGTTCGTTTTAGCACAAAAAACTTTTTTCTTTAGCAAAATTGCGTTCGATAAGTAATTTTTGCAGGAGAGCAGGTTGAAGTTAACAAATAAGCGCAAAAATTATTTATCGAACGCAATTTTGCTAAAGGAAAAAGTTGTTTGTTTTAGCATAAAGTATCATGTTCTGTACTACGAATGCGCGAATTTGGAGACACCCTGTATATATAAATGTATATGAAAAATAAGACCCTAGCTAGGCTATATCAGAATTAAGCACCGACAAACATTCGACATATATACTATATAACTAAAATATAAGTAAGCCCTCTCAATTTCTTGGAGTGAAATCTCATTCTAAGAAAATGAAAATACAGCCATTTTTGCACAAGAGTGAAAATATTTTATTTCTTGAAAAAGAGTGACAATTTTCACTTTTTTTAGTGAAATTTCATTTCAGAGGAAAGTGAAAATGTTTTTTGAGCAAAAATTGTCACTCATTTTCAAAAAGTGAAATATTTTCACTCTTCTCCAAAAATGGCTGTATTTTCACTCTCTCAGAGTGAGATTTTATCCAAGAAATTTAGAGAAAGAAACAACAGTTGTTTCAAAGATTCTTATATTAAGATGTGGTGATTATATCATCCACGATCCTCATGGCTGAATATGCGAGACTGCTCGAAACGTTTGGGTACGCATACATATTCGCACATACATATGTATTCGCAACTCAAGACAATAGCGGCATTTAAATTTTCTTTTACATTAATTTCTCATAGTGAGGTAGCAATTCGAACTTTTTCAGATCCTTCATAATATATAGACATAGACATTTAATTGTTGCAATTATGATATTCAGAAATAATAGTTGTGTTGTAGGGTAAAACTGCCCAAGAGAAAGTGCGCATCGCTCAAGAGTTTGCATTGAGCTTTATGACAAAACTATTAGATTGTAAGAGCTGTAATTTAACAGAATGTGCCTTTTTAGTTTGCCAATCTGTGTATAAAAAATCGTTGTTATCATCAGCAATAAAAAAGTTATTTTGAATTTTATAATTTTGACCATTTTCTTTCCATATTTTTCATGAATAAATTAATCGATTTTCAACATTAAATTGTTGCTTTGTGAATCTGTACTATTTATATTGTGTGCATGCATGTCTCTGCTTCATATTTAGTGATATATTTACTGAATACCTATAATAATTTTTATATAGTTATATTATATATATAAAAGTAAAAAGCGACACGATGACTCAAGAGTTCGCACTTGAGAAAAGTTTAAAAATTTACACATGAGCGGCACTGGCAGACACCGATCGTGTTCTACCTTCCTACGATTTATTCTTCGGAGCCTTCAATCAAGATTGAGATTTACCAAAATTTAAACATTCAACCGCTCGAGATAATCGAAAAGCGAGATAAACTGTTGTGTAAGTTGAAGTGAAATAAATATACGTTTGTTTCGTTTCAACTTATTGCACCGTATGCCAGTTCAGGTAATGTAGGAATAAAGAACAGATCTAAGATCAATAGAAACGAAGGAGAAAATATTTAGATACTAAGAGAAGAATCTCGAAGGAGAAAAGACTTAGTAGTAACGTATCTCAAGAAGAAAAGATCGTGGAGTTTGCTGCGAGACTTTGATTTGTACGGACGTGTTGTAATCGTCTCAAATAATGAAGTAGACATTCAATAGACCGAACGAAATTTCATTTGCCGAACTACTCGATACTCGATCACCAAAAAGATATTTTATTTTGAGCAAATTATTACATAAATTTTGAATGAATTTGGATTCAATTTAAACGTGCTACGGCAAAACGTTTTAAGTGCCAAATACGTTTTATTATGTATGGCTGTATTCTATCATATATTAATATTTGACGTGGAAAGTGTTGCTATAAACGGAAAAAAATGGGTAATACAAAATGTTGCAAATCATTGTGTAATTGGTATTTTTATTTCGACTTATAACGTTTTGACTTGCATTCTTACTTACATCGTTTTGAAATTTTAACAACTTTAACACGATTTTTTTTTTAATTAGAATTATTTAATTAAACATTGTTGCGGAGGATACTCATATCTTATTACAGTAATTTTTGTAGAATTTTTGATAGTTTGTAAAAAAGTAAGTTTTTCGTTTTTTCTAAAAAATTTAAAAAATGGTACTTAAACGTTTTGCTATGGCACACCTATTAAAATAATTAACGTTAGAAATTAAGAATTTAAATGATAACCATCTTCAAAGTCTCCGCCGGAGAAAAATTGACTCCTTTCACGGAAAAAGATATTCAGAAAAATATTCAATAATTTTACTGTCTCCACGAAGATACACAGCGGATTATTTCATTATCATTATTTATTTATTTATATAAATTTCAACATAATTATAATTCTTCATCCGGGAAAATGCACGATTTTGGATTTAATTATCAAAATAGTTAATGTGTTGAAAATTAAAAATTTAGTAAATGGTAGCCATTTACTAAATTTACAAAATCTTTACTGAGAAATTCACTCTAAATTTCATACAAAATTTAGAAAGATATTCATAGTGATAAGACCATATTCAAAGGTATAGTGTGTTATTTAATTATCATTTATTATTATTAATTGTGTATGTGAACACACAAATGTTCTGAGATGTAATTATAACAAAATTTCCCATCACAGAAAATGAGCAATATAATACGGAGCACGTTCGAGAACTTGCTTTTCTCATGAACGCATTTTCCGTTAGCTATCTCGCTTTTCCTGTAACCCTCGACGCTACAAAGAAGGGCATGGAGTGTCGTATTTTATACACGGGGAGATATAATTAATCCCGCGACGGTCTATGGGATTGTTATTAATAGCGCTTCCTTACTTCCTGTTTCAGGGCTTCTTCAGAAGGAGCATACAGAAGCAGATAGAGTACAGGTGCTTGAGGGACGGCAAGTGTCTTGTCATCAGATTAAATCGGAACCGTTGCCAGTACTGCAGATTCAAGAAGTGCCTAGCCGTCGGCATGTCCAGAGACTGTAAGTACCGTGTTCGCGCTACGTTTAACAATTTTTACACTTCGTCTAGTCTAGACAGTCGGCAAATTCCGAAACGTATCAATATCGAAGAAACTACCGAGTAATATTATCGAATATTTAATTCATGACATACAGATTGTATATAAAACGTTCCTTAAAAAGAAATTGAAAACTAATATTGCATACATTTTTTAAAGGATTGTGAAATCTTTTCGATTTCTAAAAATCTTTTCGATCTTTTCTGTTGATGCTCTTATTTTATATAAAATATATCAAATAATTATATGAATTTATGAAATATATTGGTATTAAGTATTAAAAAAAATTATTTAAAAATAAGTTGTAAAATAAACAGCAGCTGTAGAACAAAATTATACGAAATATAAAAATGCATATATTTTCTCTTTTTTTATAATGGCAGAAAATTGTACAAAATTTTTAAAACAGTTAATGAATTGTTTAAATTAATTTAAATATAGGTAACTGTGTATATAGACAGAGAGAAAGAGAGAGAGAGAGAGAGAGAGAGAGAGAGAATGTTTAAACATATTAAAAATTAAAAAATGTTTTAACGATCTTGTTATTTGTCAGTTATATTTGTATATACCGAGTACAAGTCGACTCTTTGATTCTTCACGCGTGTGTCGGAAACGAGCTTACTAGTCCACGGCGCCGTTAGAAATTCAAACAGAATTCTACGAGATCGCAATTCTAGCCGTCAGTGATGCAAAATCTACTTGCCGCCCGTGTCGAGAGAGCAAAGTAAACCAAAGGGCAGGCGTGTACATAATTAAACGTCAGAGTTCCAGGGCGCAATACCGGTCTACGTGTACGACGTGCGAGCTGCGAGTACCGCTTCATCATCGTGTCACGTGTCGCAAACGAAATTGTAACGAACTCACGTAGACTCGCGTAGACGCGGGTGTAATAATCTAGAGGAACGCAAACGAGATGGCTTTCATTTAAATCCGCGGGACTCAACTTTCAGAAATGTTAAAACTTTTGACGTAAAATATCTTCAGACTACGGCATTTAAATCAGGAGTCCATGAAACTAAAGTCTACCTGAAATTACTTGGACCGTGAGACTTTATTGTCTGTGTCTCTGAATCGCTAAAGATCGTGATTCGCTAAAGATCTCCATTTCTAATCGACTGCAGTCCAAAAACTACTCGCTTCTTGACATTTGCGCGAAAAAAAATCATTTCAATTTTTAAAAAGAAACAGTATCAAAAGAGCAATAATGGTAACTCAATTCCTTGAATTAAATAACATTCTATTATTTTAGCTTACATGTTATGTCAAAATATCAATCAATCCATTTCTATGATCAGTTTCAATTTAAATAACATCCGTATCAATACATATATGCACTTAATAAATGATGAACTAAATTTGAGTTAAATTTAATACTAACTCTAATGTTTAACTCTAATGTTTTAGTTACATTACTAACATATTGAGTAGGAGCAATGGCAACATATAGAAATGATAAAAAATAACTCAAATTTATGAATTTAAAAAACCAAGTAAGATAATCAAATTCTCAAAATGAAGAAAAAACAAGAAACTGTAAAAAAACGAGCTACTAAGAATGTGCGCTGTTAAAATTGCGCAATACAATATAAATAGGATTTGAATATATTCACAACATTACATTATTATGTATACAGCCGATCACAGAAATGTTGCAACACTTTTTTCAATGGAATTTGGAACTCAGCCTTGCTCGTAGAGTAGTTGAACATAAATGGTTAGATCCATAAGCCAGAACCAATCACTCAGTGAGTAAACTATAATACATTCCGAAACTCATCGAAAAAAAAGTGTTGCAACTTTTCCGTGACCGGCTGTACAGGTTTCGGTTAATCTTTCAGCTATCTTCATCATTTGATCAATACGCAATAAATTTACATACTTAAGATCCAATGAAAATCATGATAATGTTCCTCATGAGGTAGTCAGTCTTTCTCTTGTAGAGAGTCTCAACTAGTTGAATTATTGGATAGTACAGAAATAACACTGAATATCTCGTTTGAAAGATGACCGATAAACGCTATTAGATACTTCATTTCTTAGTAATCTCTGATTATAAACGGAATATGGTTAATTTCCATATGAGTCGTACAGTAAATAAAATTCAGAATAATATTACATTTTTAATGATAAAACTATTTTGAACGTGAGCTGTTGAGAGGCGAGCTGTTGTCGTGTCAAATTTGAACTGTCTCTCTTTATGACAGAGAAGATTACCCTTGCTCTTACTATCATATGAAAGCACATCTCGGTGTGATAACATTTTGAAAAGTTTACTTAAGATTGCTTGTTTGAAAGATAAAAAATTTTTAATAAATTAAAAGATTTTACGTTTTTGCGTTGAAGGAATATTCGCAAAAATCAATTTTATCGCAGCTTTTATTTACAAAAATCAATATTAGCAAAGACCGCCACAAGGAATGAAAAAAATATCTATATGTAAATAATTCCATTGAATACCTCGAGATCTCCCCAACGATCACATTCTGCTCGTCTCTTTGCAGCCGTGAGATACGGCAGGGTGCCGAAACGCTCGAGAGAACGTGGCCCCGAAGACACGATGGCGACGACCATGACGACGACGACGACGACGACGACGATGGCGGCTATGGAAATGCAGCAACTGACTACACCCGATACCGGCAACAACAATGCCAGCAACAAGAACAACAATAACAACAACAATAACAACAACAATAACAATAACAATAACACCCAGAGTCAGAACGCGATCTCACGGGTACCGTCGGCGGCGGTGGTCGAGGCTGATCAATCAGACGCTGACGTGAAGCAACTGGCTGTATACGATGTGATTCATCAGGTCTCTCAGGCTCATCACGCTCATTGCGGCTTCACGGAAGAGTCCACCAGGGGCCTTACGAGGAAACCTATGATAATACCGGTGAGCCATTAGAAAATGAAAAAGAAAATTAATCCGTTGCGATCTAAAACGTCGCCGCTCTAAATCAGTAGTCGTCATATAACAGTAATTATAACAATAAAATAATAATTAAGCATCATAGTAATTAAACAGTAGTAAGTGAAAATTGATCCAGAAATGTCCAACACAAATAAGCAAAAAATATTTGGTCAAAGCAGTTCTTGGTACCTAATAATAATTAAATTCAATAAAATAAAGATCTATATGTATTTTTTTTTATACACAATAGAGATCTTTTCCGAATCGATTGAAAGAATGAAAAACATATTAACTTTGCGATATGTCTCGTTGTCTTTTTGACGCAGAACGGAATTAGTTTAATTTCTCATTATGTATTAGCGCGAAGACTTCCCGCTGGAAGTGGTAGCAAACTCGCAGGTTTGTTTGTAATCTTGCTGATTAGGCGAGTAATTCTTCGCAGCCCGCGAGCCCGGAAGATCCAGAAGCAGCATCCTCGACCGCGGAGACTGTTGAGTCGCAGAGGATCTGGTTGTGGCAACAATTTGCCACTAGAGTGACGCCGTCGGTACAGAGGGTGGTGGAGTTCGCAAAACGGATGCCGGGATTCTGCGAGCTCTCGCAAGACGACCAGTTGATCCTGATCAAAGTCGGCTTCTTCGAGGTGTGGCTCTGCCACATCTCCAAAATGACCACCGATAATTCGATGACTTTTGAAGACGGCACTTACTTCACCCGCCAGCAACTGGAACTGATGTACGAGGTAAGATTAAAGCTGTAGATCAATACAGTTTAATTTGTACTAATTTTAGCTTATCTTCGATGAAGTAATACACTTGTACCTATTTCCCTAAATAAATTGGTACTTTTGAATTAATGGATTTTAGATTCATTCTTTATCACATAAAATCGATTATTTTTTTCTCTGTCGAGAAAGAAGTTGAACATAAAATAATAAATTTAAGCGTTCTCTGCGTTTTCAATTTTGTCTTTCCTTTGCTAAATCCAATTTAGTACTAGCCAATTTAACACTTCGGTGTCACACTACGGAAATGACACACTTGGGTATAGCATACCTAATCCAATTCGATTGCTTATAGCTAACTTTTATAAAAATGAACATATTGTAAAATTTTTAATCGAAACGCCAGACATTAAGAAACATATCGGTATTAAGTAAATGTATTTGTTTTTATTAATGAAATGTTATGAGCAATGGAGAAAGTATTAGAAAAAAGAACTACGTTATATCCAAGGTGACATCGAAGAGTTAATATTAAAAGATAGTGATTAATTACTTATTTTGAATATTAAAAGTACTTTTAGTATTCAAACAACAGTACTTTTAGTATTTGAACTAAGTAATTAATTACTTTTTCTAGAATTAAATTTCTGTAAAAATGATTATTATATTATACGATCATTATTTTATTCGACTATTTATGACGGACAGCCCGACTTCGTGTCTGCACTGATGCAAGTCACGTCATCGTTAAATGCCCATCAACTGACGGACACCGAGCTGGGCCTGTTCTCGGCGGCGGTGTTGCTGAACGAACGACCAGGACTGAACGACGTCAAGGCTGTTCAAAGGCTGCAGGATCGCGTCCTGGAGGCATTAAGGGTGCAAACAACGCGACCCTCCGGTGAAGGTGCCGGCGGCACCACGATCACCAACGTCTCGCAAAGGATACCCGAACTGAGAGCGCTCGGCGCCAGACATGCCAATCTCCTAGATTGGTTCCGCAGGAACTGGACGAAGCTCAAATTACCGCCGCTGTTCGCCGAGATATTCGACATTCCTAAATGCGAGGAGGATTTGCAATGAAAAGGTAATCTTCAACAATAATTTAATAGAGACCGGTTGTGTGAAAGGAGGGAGAAGTGAATTTTTATTTGTATTCAGCGAGGCGAACGCTTCGTGAAGATATGAGAGCATTCACTTTATATGCACGAAGCATTCGTTTCTATGAACAGAATGACGGCGATAACACCGTGAAAAAGATACGAGCAATGAGAAGCGCGAATTCTGTATATTGCTGGATAATCGATAACCGTCCTGACTGCAATGACATTTGCAAACGAATGCTTCAAAAGAGTATTCATACGAAGTATAGCATATGTTTACGCTTTACGATTTAACTTTTAAACATGTGCTCGCTTTTATCTTCTCTGAAAACCTTTGTTTCACGTTTATTCACATATTATCCAATGTAATTCCAGTTTCTCTCGCTTCTCTTTTGCTCATTTGATAATTTGATATTTTTGATAATTTGATCCAACACAAATAAAAACTGCAAATTTGATTTTTTATTTTTCGTTACTTGTACCATGATCGTGATTATAAAATAACAGTGTGAAACGGCACGAATTTTAAGTCTGTTAAGTAAAGTCTTAATTATCTTAATGCAACATTGTCTCAAACAATTTAAAATTAAATTAATAAATCTACGGGATTTTCGTAAATCGTGTTTGCTTCAATCGCTTTAAGAAATTTCTGTACAAATACTAGTCTAATTTGGTTCATTATTATTTAATTATCTTGATAAATTAAATTCTGTTGAATTACTTTATTTAATGTATCCAATCTTAAGCTCTTGAATTGTCGAATACAGCGAAATATCCTTTGTTTAGCAGCCTCTATAAGCTACAGCGAGGTAATTCGAGACCAATGATGCCGTGATGTCGGCGATAAATCGGGCCCAGCGTTTACCGAGGCCGTTCTGAATATCTAGAATCGTTTTAACTCATAGAGTTAGCGAAATACATCTAACACGATGACGAGATTCAAATTGAATGAAGAACGGGCGGTTGAAACGAGGAATGAAGTATATCTGTGAAGATTGTTTGTCACAAAAGATATTAGAAAATTAGAGAGAAAAGAAAAACAAAGACGCGATTGTCGACGACTATCGTTGATGGCGATTCCCATTGACTTGTCTCGGTTATTCAAAAGTCAGCGAGAAAGGAATTTTGGTCGAAGGATCGCGAAAGATATTTACCGTATACTAGAAAATGAAAAAAGAAAGAAAGGAGAAAATTACAGACGCAATTGTTGATTATCTGAACAGCGAGATCGCGCAGCGGACAGTAGCGTGAACTTCTAACGACGATCTTTCAGGGAACATCCCCTGAAATGTTTTGTCGCTCCAGCGAATAACAGAAGATGATCTCAAGAGAGAAGAAGATTACCTTTAAAGAGTCGCGCAAGCAATAAGACGGAACTTCTCCGTGCAAGCTCCGCGCAAGTTCGGAGGAAAATTCGCAATTTGCTCAAATTCAACAGAAACGGCTTTGTACTATTCGCCAAGCAATAGCACACACGCATTACAACAAGCGGGTCTCCGAACGGGCGTATATTTGAATGAAATACTCAATCGACGAGGGAGGGATCTTTCGCGCCGCTTTGCCGCCGCGCCAAGTAAATAGCTGTTTTAACGAGCGTTGCGATGAGGAAACAAGCACAAAAAGCGTAACAGAGTCATGGACGTCCGTTCGTGCTCAAGATTCTGTCCTTTGATTTTTCTTTCTGTTTCTCTTCAAATAATTCTAAGACTTAAGAATATATATGTATATAATAAATATATACAGCGTGCAGTACCCGTCTGAGCAGCTAGAACGGAAATCGGCCAAATGATAGCATCAGAAACACCAACTATATTCAACGGACATATCAGAAATTAAGATTACAAAGTGTTCCCTCATGTATTATTATCATTGCTGAGCACGTACGTGTCTCTTTAGAGGTGTTGCGGTCAGCGTAATTGTGATCAGTTCGAATTTTAATGTTGCAGGCACGTGAAAAAAATTGATTTCAATAAACGATATATTTTAGAATAAAAAGAGCGCTACACGCTTTTTTAAAATAAAAATTAAACATAGCGTGTTTTTCCTATTATATACTTAATAATTATACAGTAATAATAAGACTACCCACATAGCAAGTTGCCCGCAGACTGCTGTCCATTTGCTTCAAATTACTCTGCTTAAATTGCCTTCTATATTAAGGAAAATGGTTTCCGGCTTTGCATGTTGGATTACCGATTTTTATTGCCACTAATAGTTATGAACAATTTGATGATAACACTCAGGCAACGGTTGTCCTTTTTCCAACAGATTGTAGCAACTTTTATAGCAATAAGCGAATGCTACAGCATTTCCGTTCATTTGCGCAGACAACCGTTGTCGGCACAATATCTTTAGGTTGTCCTAAACAAAATTATTGTCCCGATGACAGCAACGTGGATGGCAACTGAAGGGAAACTTGTGCCACGAGCAACTATTTCCTTTCTTATACTAAGGAACGCTTGGCTATTTGGGAGAGTCTTAACTGTATATGTTAGTACATGTTGTATAATTATACAAAAGATTAAAATGCCTATTGAATTGATACATAGTTTTAATTTCACTTGCTAGATTCTTAGATCGCTAATTAGCCAGTCGAGATACATTTTTCTGTGTCCCCAACATTGAAAATCGAACTTGTCATTTTCGATCCTTGATTTGTTGCGACACCGAAGGTGATGATGAACGGTTATACGGCCGCGTAAGTGTAACAAAACGCGTGTGCGATTGAGCACGAGACTCGCGCGATCTAACCGCGCATTCATATACGCATACAGCAGCTATGAGCTTACGTATGTAATTAAAGGCGCACAAGCGCTGAGAGGGAGCGTATACAAATTTCATGCTGTAAGGCTCGAGAAATCTTTATAGGAACGTATCTTCTTATAGACGCATCTGCTACGAATTTCAATCTATGCAATCTCTATTTTTATTACTCGACAAGTAGAATAGCGAATTATATCTCGATATACATATATATAATTATATAATTATATAATTATATATATATACAATTATATATCGTCGCGCGACGCTCCGGGAGGCGGTTCCGGGTGGAAACACGTAAGACAGAACCGGAACGTAAAAATGGCGATTCGGAATAAAGTTCCTCAATTAATCCACGCAGAATAATTTGCACGTTTACTCGTCGCGGCAAACCGCGTGTCTGTGATCTGTAAATCGCGCCCCGAGAGAACGGCAACGAGCCCGGCACTTCGTACACATGTGTACTTGCAAAAATTTGCGAAAACGCGATGCGTACCAGGGACACACAGCCCGCGCATACACATATATGACACCCGACACACACGCGACATCCAGAGAACTCTGAGTCCGACTCCGCGATTCCGCGCGGAACGGTCCTGTGGCGAGCGCGACCAGCTCTTCAAACTTTAAACACTAATAAACTTTCTGACAATGACTAGCGTAATGACTAGTAATACATAACAATATATAATCGCAGAACGCGCGCGCGTGTGTGTGTGCGTGTGCGTACGTGTGTGCGTGCGTGCGTGCGTGCGTGCGTGTGTGTATGTATGTATGTGTGCGTGCGTGTGTGACATGTGCGCGAGTGCATCGAAATACTCATCCGTGAAACGTGAAATAAGAGAGCAAAAAGAAGTTTATTGATATAGATATCACTGTTTTATCTATATATGCCGGGCGTGCTTAAAATAACGACGTTAACCCGGTTTATTATCGCTATCACTCAAATTGAAAGAGAAATCGAAGATGCTGTCCTTGCGATATTAAGGGAAGGAAGGAAGAATTTCCAATCTTTATCACTCTATCTCTTTTTCTCGCTCTTTCTCACTCTTTCTAAGCGCTCACATCAAGTTGTGAATAAACATATCATACTTAATTAATATATTGGACAAAGAGGATATCATCGTTTAATATAATATAAATATATATACAAATATATATATAGGAGAAATATATATATGTATATTACAAAGGAACATTATATTGAAGCTATATTGCAAAAAAAAAGAAGTAGCTGTTAATTAACGCGTTAATATCGAGCGAATCGCAAGGTAGGACATATCGGTGATTACAACGCAACAATCACGATCACGTGGTAGTGTTCTCCCGCTTTTATATTCTAATCATCGTAATCGGGAAGGTCTCTCGTGATTCAATATAAGTCGAGCGTACGTGACTTGGCATTTATTGATCGTCATATTGTTTCCGCTTTCTATCCGATCATTGCCAAACGAGAAAAATGTCGATTAAAATTTCAGGGTTTCGGATAAAATTTCGAGAGAAAATGAATAGCAAGAATCGACAGCGACGTCGCAATGTCCCTTGATTTGTTAAAATTGAGGGCATAATTTTTCAATTTTTTTGAAGGAATTTGGTGTCCCCAAAAAAAGAACCGATAAAGAAAGCGAAAGAAAAGAAATGAGAAAAAAAATTAAGAAAGAAGAAAATGAAAATTCTCTATTAATTTTTTATTATATTACTCTCTTAATGCAAATTAAAAATGAGAGAAACATGAATAAATGATAGATAAATATACCACTCTCTTCCGAGATCGACATTTTTCTTCAGTTACGTCACGATCGTATTCTTCAAAATTTCTAGTCCCACGAAAATTATTCGCCGAGGTAGCAATCATGAATTGAAGAGGTGTTCTGGCGAGCGTTGCTGGAGTATATAATTAAACGGCCAAATACATCATAGTAATAATATAGCGTAATATTGTATTATTATGATAAAAGCAAGATAATTCTCTATCTGTCTCTATTTCTTAGCGACGACGCCGGTCAATCGTCCTTTGTCGTCCTTGCGCAGCGCCGATAGTGTTCCTTCGTGTTCTTGGCCGGTTGTTTGCGCGCGATGATGCTCCACTTTTAGGGATGTGTCCAGATCCCTTCGCCCTGATCTCGCCCAGATCTTTCGTTCTGATCGTCGGCGGTCCTTCGTTCTTCGACTTCTCGTAGCATAAACGCGACGATTGGCCGGTAATAAAGGAAAAAACCACACACGACGTAAAAAATCGAGTTTGATGTGTTTAAACGATAATTGGAGTCTCTGGAGAAGTTTGTTTTCTAGAATTCTTTATATAATTTTTCAGAATTTTTAAAAATTTCTGTATAATTTTTTTTTAGAAAATTTTTTGAATTTTTAAAAATACAAATTAGAACACTTCACACACACACACACACACACAGACGTACTGAGAAATTCTAAAATTTGTTTCTAGATTTCTTCATATAAATTCTGAAACATTATATTTTAGGATTTCGTAAAATTTTTCATTCTATAATTTCTGAAGAAAACTTATAAACTTTGAAAAAGTTTAAAGTACTATTTTAGAAATCTTCATACATTTAAAATATAAAAAATTCTTAAAAATATTATGAGAAACTTTTCATTAAGGATAAGAATCTTTTTCTTCATGGGAAAGACCGAATAAAAGCCGAACCGCTGACGTTGATAAGTAAATATTTATTTCCAATGTATACGAGACTGAGTTTTTATCATCAAGAGATTTAAAGTAGATCGAAATTATAGAAATAGTCATCGATATATATGTATATTTTTCATCAACATCTGCAGCCTGGTTCTTATTGGCCTTTTTCCTGTTCTCATTTCATGTCGAAGAGCATTTCATTTGTTTCTATTCTGTTGAACTTACTAAACCGACTTGAAGGGACGACTTTCTTGTCTTTCTCTTTCGGTTAAAACACGAGAAAGAAAAACGGAAAATTGAGGATGTGAAACATCTCAATTTCCCCTTTTTCTTTTTCGTGTTTCGACCAAAACAAAAAGTTCTTTTGGTTCTCTCTCTCTCTTCAGCCCGTCCTCCTTCCGCCACCCCCTGGACTCTCTTAATTTGATCCTTCGCTTTGTCTTTTTTAGATTTCAAGGTTCGAGATTTCGGTCATGGTGCTATAGTATCTGTATATGTACATATATATACTTATACAAATCGTTGGTTAATCAATATCGTACGATTAATAATATTATTGCGGTTAAAATCCGATTATTATCGCTGTGCTCCTCCCACTGCTATTATTATTATCATCGATATGTTTATTATCATTAGTACTACCATTATTATTATAAATATTATTACGATTATTATTACTAAAGATATTATTATTATTATTATTGCTACATTGATTGTACTTATTAGTGATTATGATATCGACGTTATATATCATCAGCGGCGCTATTTAAGTCAAGGAAAGGCAAACGCTAGAATGATAAGACGATCCAGACGGTTTTTGAAATACTTCTATGTATTCCGCCCGCAATTGCTAAGACTACATAATAATCATTCTTCGGTTTAATGTAGAATATCTCGGTTATATGCATTGCTTTATGCATACCTATTCTTTTTGACACACATCAAAAGCAGCGACATATATTCATAAATACATATACATATGTAACAGCCACAAAAATTCACACAAGTTCTACCAACAAATTCTGTGGAGCCAATTTCTCCCTGACTCAATTCGTTACCAGTTCCATTTTATCAGTGGATTTTTATTTCATTTTGACTTGCCAATATACGATGTCAAATATTTTTCGAAATGAGATTTCCTGTTTGAGTCTATTAATTTAAAAGTAAAACGTTATGAATTAACGCTATTAATTATGAATTCAGACCATAAAAAGTTATATCTATATTTTCAAATACTTCATTTCATTAAAAATTATTTTTACTGGGAACAGGTCGATTTTAAATCAATTAAAGAAGAGAAAGATATTTTGTTATATCGGACATTTTTACGCGAAATTGTGTCCATCATGTTATACGTTTAAAGATGCTTGACAAAAGAAGTGTGAACATTGTTGAAAAAAAAATTGTTAACAAATTTTATCACCATATAAGATTCGTTTACATTCGCAAATTATGTAATTTACAAATGTAAATTTTAAAAAATTGATCATTTGATTCGAATACTCGATTCATGTTATCGAATATTTAACTTATACTATTCCATTTATCAAGCGGCTTGGACATATGAGAACAGTGTACAACGTATAAAAATATAAATAGTGAATATTGTGCTCTCCTAGTTTTAAAGTACTTTATATTTTTCAGTGAAATTTTCAAAAATCTGTCTCACTTTTGTTAAAATTGAAAAAGAATTATACATATCAAACCGTACTAATATTCGCATCATTAAGGTACTTCGTGAAATAAAGTATTACGTAAATAAGCTTGTCTCTTCACGCGAGAAAATGATGGGCCGAATTTTAATTAATGTCCCTATTTACATACTCGCAATTATACGTATATATACGTGTATATAGCCTATTCATCGTGCACTTTCTCGCGACTTTGGATCCGGCGAACGTCTGTCAGATTAATTAATCCACAAATTAACATTTCATTAAGATCCACTTGTGGAAATTATATGAGAATTAAAATATTGCTATCTACTGTACAAATCTGCAGAGCGAGCCAATATCTCGATTTCACTAAATTGCAACTGATTATTTGTATCTTGTTAATTTTCTAACTATTGTAATTTGTCTTGAGGTTTCCGAAATGTTTTTCAAAGTTCAACATCTGGCATCCGCGGTTGAGGGCAAATGCGCGACATTGGAATACCATATTCATTATTAATGAAGTTGAGGACGATGGCGACAAGGATAATGATAACGGTGGGCGTTATCGGCGTGCCAAGGGAGGCGGGAATTATTCTTAAAAAAATATATTACATATATATGTATAAAATATAATATAACGAAGATAAAACGATATTAAGGGTAACTACAAAAAATGACTGCTCTATACTGCTAAAGTACAAATGTTTTCATTTAGTTGTTTTATAAGAAGATATCGATTTGTTAGGGCTCGCGTTTATATCTCGCATTTAGCGCTAAACGTGACTATCGCGAGTGGTTTTTATTTGTCATAATGAAAGTTACGTATAAA